ATTAGTTGTTAAAATATATATACTGTATAAATAATCATATTATATTTTATTTAAAAACAAAGTAGTTATATTATCAAATGCTATTACTATCTCTGATATTAAATACCTTACAACTAAAATACAACTCATCCAGTTACTATAAACACCTACAGTATATGTGATCTGCCAAAGCAAAAGTTTGTCTCTCCTCTATATTAAGATTACTTGCTATAGAGATTCACTGACTAGAAGTTGTTAAAATACTGTATTTTAATTTAAAAATTAAAAAAATTGTACTAAAAATAATTTGTCTTTTTTCTATTAACTCTACCTCATATGTTTACTATTTAATATATAATATAAATACTGTATACTGTATTTTTTATTTTTATTTTAAACTAATTTAAATACGTATTTGCTTTGGTACCAAATAATCAATTTTTTTTTACTATGTAAAATAACTAATATATACAGTATAGTAATACAGTATATTGTATATGTAGTATACTTTATTGTATAGTATTAGTTAGTATAATAAACTTTATAACTAAATTAATTAAATTGATATTTAAGCCTTTCAAGTTCTAATGATTTTTAAATACTTTTAAATAACAAAAATTCATTTTAAAATACAAATAACCCGGTTATTTGATAACACTGCTTGATATTAACAAATAAAATAAAATAAAATAATCTTGATAATTCAGTAATTAGAGGTTCTAATATGCACAACACTAGGCCGGGCCAAGCCTTCAAGCAATCAATTAGGTCAGGCTTGTGCCCGCTGCTCGGTCGACCGCTATTGTACCACACATAAGAAATGATCTACACAAGTCAATGTTCAAAACTATATATCGACATATATATGTATATATATATATATATACATATTATATATATATACATATATATATATATATATATATATATTATTGTATATATATATATATATATATCTGATATATATTATATCAGATATATTTAAAAAAATTTAGTCTACGTATACGTAATACGTATGTATCCATCAATTCTAAAGCTAAGTAATTGGTCGTATATGATATTATGTATAATGTAATATGTGTAGATTTTTTACACGGGAGTACTTTTCTTATATGTTATTATAAGGGTGAACCGGCGAGAAGTGTAACCCGGAAAGATTACTAAATCTCACTATTAACGCTAGTGCTACCTGCTCGTGACAAGTATGACATATGATCCAATAATATAATAAAGCAATTGATAAGCAAGAGAAACTTTACAGATAGCGAATACTTACTTCGACTAAAAGTTTACTGTTTTACACCGTTAATGACAAATACTACTACTACTTCGAATTCTGTGTCTTCTCGGAGCCGAGCCATTCCCTTGAATAGTGCAGTTGCTCCACACTTAGCAATAATGTCTAGTTCGTCTGCTTCACCATATCCTCCACTACCTGCAACAATGACCAATCCACCCCCTATCGTGCAATATCCAACTTTATCAGCTGGTCAAGCAAGCTCAACGTATTTACGATCAAACATTAATCCCGTCAACGCGGCTTCAACCGCACACGCGATTGGTTCTTCTACACATTCGACTTATTATAACCATCCACTCGCTTCTTCTTCAGCTCTTCCCATGAACTTGTCTAACTCAAGCACACAGTTGAAGTCAGCACCTCCAAAACCTAAACTTCCGGAATACCTTGATAACACAAGCTTTGCAGAGCTGTATAATAAAACGCATGCGGAAAAATTCTCAGGGGACAATAGCGTAGCTGACAAAGATTCGTTCGATTATGTGGCTTTACCAACTGCATGGAATGTCGATGATAAATGTCCTCTATTGAACGTAGATTCAGATAAACTTAGAATAAATTATATAGGTAAGACGAATCGTATAATATATTGAAACCATTTTAGTTTTTTTAAAAAGTTCTTTGAGATACGATCGCTCATTCGATCCTAATATAAAATGATTTGTTGAAACGAATGATTCAAAAATCAATACATGAATTCTTGTCATTTGGCGATTTTAAATTTAAATTCACTTGATCTTCATCTAAAAAGTTATCGCGCAATTTGTTAACTTACGCGAATTTTCAAACGCAAAGGTTCTGGAAAAGCTGATACAGATGCTGCTGCGATCCGAGCAAATTATCCGATTCCACCACAGTGTGGACTATTTTATTTTGAAGTCGATATTATAAGCAAAGGAAAGGATGGGTAATATAGCATTACTGAATATAATTTTAGCGTTGTATATATATATCAATATCCTTATATTTTATAATTCTTATTTCTTTCTGAAAGGCATATTGGGATCGGATTTTGTGCAAAGACAGTTCTTCTAAATAGATTGCCCGGTAATTATAAAACTTTTACTTATTAACTATCAGTTACGAATATGATTACCTAAAATTATTACTTTTTATAATATTCATAGGATGGGAAAATGACTCATGGGGTTATCATGGTGACGATGGACATTCTTTTTGTTGTTCAGGAACAGGCAAACCATATGGTCCAGTATTTACAACTGGAGATACGATTGGGTGTTGTATAAATTTTAGGGATGGCACTGCATTTTATACAAAAAACGGAAAACATTTAGGTAATTATTATTAATAGATTCAAAAAATATTGTAAATAATAATAATAATAATAATAATAATAATGTCGAAATTTGATATTTTTTTGCAATATTTTCAAGGAATTGCATTCCGGGATTTGAAAGGTACCTTGTATCCATCTATTGGAATGAGGACGCAAGGCGAGTCAATTGAAGTAAATTTTGGACATAGAAAGTTCAAATACGCGATCGAACATTATATGAAGGTTGGTTTATCTGTATTGCGCTTTCACGTAAATTGTATGATGCGTATCATTTTAAAATTTTTATATGCAGGAAGAAAAGGCGCGATTATGGCATGTAGTCAACGCAACGCCGATGCCACCAATTTCATCTCCTCACACTTCTGCACCTATCTCCCAAGCCGCATCAGAAGCAAACCTTACAGCCAATGCACATCAGCTTATTTTATCATACCTTATTCACCACGGATTTAGTGAAACTGCCAAAGCATTCTCTCGAGATGCTGTACGGATTTCTCAAACATACAACAATGAAATGAATGAAATGGAGGGTGTAGAAAGTGAAAATCCGTCGGTAGATATGGATATGGATATGTTGAATCGGCAGAGTAGGCAATATAGGATTACTAGAATTAATCATTTTGTTGAATTTAAATAGAATTTTAAATAATAAGTCAACTTATACTTTAGGAATTCGTGACGCTGTTCTTGCGGGAAATATTGACCTTGCTATTGAATTAACTGATAAATGCTATTCTGGTGTTTTACAATCTAATGATGATATTCTTTTCCAACTTCGATGCCGTAAATTTATTGAAATGATAGGCACTTGTGCGGGAACCAAAATAACGTTATCAGATAATGAAGATGTTAGTATAAAGGTTGATAACAGTCATACAATGAGTGAAGAAGATGATACTGATGATGAAGAAGTTAATGAAAGCACTGAGGAAGATGAAGACGATGATGACGAAGAGGATGAAGATGATGAGTATAAAGATGCAATGGATGTTGATGAGTTCACTGCCGTTATCTCTCAAAGTGATTGTGAGTCAGATGATGAGATAGATGGTCCATTGACTCCACATAAGAAGAGAAGAGTGCCTAAAAAACGAAAAGTTACATTAGGATTAGATGGATTAGATGATGCAATGAAGGCAGCATTAAAATTTGGTTGCGAGTTACATGACGATTACCGTGACGATGATCGTGAAGAGATAAAAAATGCACTAAAGGTTTGATATCTATTAAGTCACTAAAATAGAGTTTATATGCATAATATTGGTCATATGATGAATATAAACAGGCAATTTTTTCATCGGAATTAATATCATTCCGCACTGCTATGCTGCACGAGTAACAATAATTTTGATGGAAGAAATTTGCAGTCATGAATTGTATACCAATATTGATTTTATCCAGCATGATATTTTGCGCAAATTATATCATACCAAATATCTGATAACTCACAATTATTTACCTTATTTTTAGGATGCGTTTTCATTAATGGCATACGATGATCCCCGCATTAGCTGTGTGGCGCATTTACTTGACCCTTCTGGTCGAGAACCGGTCGCAAATGCATTAAATAGTGCAATATTGGGTACGAGACTTTATATACATTCACTAATTTCTATTTAACGATAAATACCAATTTACTCAAAAAAAATGTTTAAAATTTAAAATTATTTTTATAGTATCACAAGGGAAACCGAAAATTCCCTCATTAGAGCAAGTTTATCGGCAGGCTTCGGTAGTCCTTCATGAATTATCTAGGAATGGTGTTGGTTCAAGTGCTTTTGTAAATGTGCGCAAGGATTGCTTAATTTAAAAGAACAATCAAAATAGATAAACACGCACGATTTATAAATCGCATCATCCACTTTTTATTTCTATTTATGTTTGAACCATACTTCATTATTCAACATCCTATCAATTATATATTTGCTTTAACGACTGTATAAATCCAAAATTTCTTCACTAAAATGTTCTATTTTTGGGAGAAGGACGCCCACGTGTGAGTATTGGAGATAAGCATGTGCTTTCGGTCACGCTAATATTTGAAGCCTTTCTTTTTATTTGAATAATGTTGATTTGTATACCCTTCATTTTATGATTTCTTGTTAGGTGTCAAATAAAGAATATTTGGTACTTTTGGTAATATTTTCTTTTTCTTGATGTAAATATGTTTCAAATTTGTAGACAATTTTCTTTATGATATTTAAATCATCTTAATTTTATCATTTCAATTTTATTCGGTAAAAAAAAATAAAAATAAAATTTTATATTTTCAAACTTGTGCAAAAAAAATAAATATATAAATAAAAATAAAAAATAAAAAATTTTAGAATAGTTTCTTATGTCCAAATTCAACAGAAACTGTGTAAGAACAATCTCACATTTGAACTTCAAATTTTACGGTAGAAAGTTAAGTGTTTTGGTGCTTCAACTACGTTCTTGAAGCAAAGTTTGTATTGCCTGCCTCATATAGGATGGTGTTATATTTTTTGGTTGAGTCTTATAGATGGCCATAATACAAGCCATTGCAAACGAAAAATAAATAACTTCGCCATTTCTTTTAATGAAATAAATTTTTTTCAATAACAATTTTTTCGAATTTTATAAAATCATAAAAAAAAAAAAAAAAAAAAAAAAAAGAAAAACACACCTAACATTTCTTACTTTACCATTTTTAACTAAAAGTTTCCAAAATGATTCAATTGATAGTCTTAAACTATACAATCCGATATCTAACCTTCTACTTGGGCTTTCAACCAAGATCCATAGACCGGCTATAAATCCGTTCGCGTATATTCTTGGTAAGAAAGGGTTTATAATTGCAATATAAGAGCTTAAAGTAAAAGAACGCAAATATTTAGAGAAAATTTAATTTATTACCTAGTCACAGGCATAAATTTTTTAGGAAGAATATTTTGAAAGCCGCATAATAAAGCCCATGCAGTAGCAATTGCCATAGTAATGAAAGTTGCACTTTTAAATATCGATGGCACAACGCTACTCAAATTTTGAGTAATCATTAAGTTAAACCTATTAAAGGAAATATAAGATATTCAACATGTGTGTTTTATGGATCAATCTGTTATAAAATATTATTAATATATTCACTTTTTAATGGAAACTCTACTCCTGAAGAGCAAGGGTGCAAGATGCACTAATGTCATAAATTTTAGAGCTGTAATACCCTCCTTAGCTATGAATTTTGAGTAATTTGCCAAGCAACTAGTATCTTCTGGATGTAGTATAGCACACAACATTTTAGTATGTGCTGGGTGAGCTATTTCTAAAATTGGCTGGATAGGTTTCAATTTATCCGGAAATGCAGAATCATTTATGCCGTGGAGCTTGGGTGAATGGAATTCAGGATAATTGAGTGATGTTATTATCGCAATTTGATCAGCGATTTCACGACCTGATGGCCAAGGAATAGATTCAGGGAGATCACTCGGACGTTGTTGTATATATGTAGTACTTCTACTGGTAATAAAT